TAACAACAGTTGAAGTTAAGCTTATTTACATGTACATGTAGCTGTTATTTCAGTGCTTGATGTTTTTTTAAAAAGTAGTTTTACCTAAAGCTGAGGAATGTTTCATCTAACCAAACTTGTAACTTTGGTAGTATCGCGAAATTCAAGAGCCGCGAAACATACCTTACATGTATTTCTTGTAATTATAGTAAGGTCAGTCTAAAGTCGCTCAAAAGAAATAAATACAATATTTACACAATGTTTGTGACATCCAGCGTTTTGTTTGGTTCCGGTTCTCTTGGAAAATCGGGCAATGATGGTCGCTTTTTTCGTCCGCCTCCGCCGCACAAAAATTTACTTCGGAAAGAGCTGCCTCTCTCGCCAGCATTCTTAAATACAACAATAACCACAAGTTACGATATTGATGGAATATGAGGGAAAATGGCTAAGACTAATATACATCTAAACAATAAATAACTCATTATAATAAGCATAATTTTAGTTCTTTCCACGAGTATCGCATAAGGACGACAATTGATCAGAATAAGGGCCATAAAACCACCCCAACCCCCCTTCCAAACCTTCTCAAGATGCCACGCAAAAATGAAATTTCTGAAGGTTGTAGAACTGAAGGCCAGATTTTCTAAGAGAAAGTAGCACAAAAACAAAATTATCTGAAGGTTGTTAGACTGAAGTCCAGATTTTCTGGGGGAAAGTAGGACAAAAGCATATATTTCTTAAAACTATCAGAGTCGTAACTAAAAAAGCAAATTTTCTAAGGGGATAAATGTTCATCAGTAAATTATTCTGAGGGCTTTGGCAGAAAACGGCATTTTTCTGATGGTCCTTCAACAAAGGGGGGGGTGGAGAGTATGTTAAACAACATGGCGCTAAGGATAAAAAATTGTCGGCCCTCACCCAGGTGGAATATTCCCGCACATCGTGCTCCTGTTTATGGCTTTGTGAAGTCTTTCCCCTCCAGAAACAATCCTATAAAGAGTAAAAAAAGACTAGCTTTTAAAAACTGGAAACCATTAGCATTAGCTGGTAGCAACAGCCTATGCGCATCCCTGAATGAGGTTGGTAAAAATGCCTTTAATAATGGTTCTGGCAGCACGTCATGACCCCATTCTCTCCCGCAATTAACAGAACAACTGGTCGTTCCTCGTCAAAGACCTGCTGAAAGCCGTCAAGATTTTGTTTCTTTTCCCCACACTCGCGACATTGTGATTATCCCATCTTTCACATTCATTTATTGAACTTAAAATTTATCATATTTACTTAAATTGTATTTATCAGAACCTCTGTTGTTTCGAGGCTTGGAGTGATGATTTGGCTGAGCATCAAGCCCCCTACCCCCCTCCACCACCCCTTACAAAAAATAGACACCCCACCCCGCCCTGGATCAGTGACACCCTCATATAATGACCACCCCGGACCCAACTAAGCTCTCATCTCTTCAACATACAGCTGTACCGGTGGGGTAAAGTGAAATATAACGAACCCTACATTAAGGGGAGGGGGGGGGGGGGTCTTTTCCATACATATTATTTC